TAATATGTGGTTATTATGTATGTTTCTGCGTAATTAACAAAAACGTGCATTCCGATTCTTTTGTCTAGGTACTGTATTTATTGATTTATTTGATTGTTTTTTAAATTGAAATAAAATTGTGTTTAATGATAATTATTAGAAGGAGTCATTGTTGATTATTTATTTTTTTTTACCTGAAAATAAATGAATTGGTGATATTTTTATAATGTTCCAATACAAGGCAGGATTATTTACCTTGTTTCAATGTCAATAAGAAAAAAAACAAAGATTTATAAATATTTTGAATCTAAAAATTGTTCAAACAACGTTTTTTTTCTTATTGATAAGCAATGCAATATAATATTGCATCTGCATAATAATAAAGAATTTCTTTTTAGTAAATGTCAGAAAAATAGCAATAATAAGATTTTTTTCCTTCTAAGAATTTTTGCTTTTTGTTGGATAATAGTACACTTTCATTCTGTTTTCTTTTCTTAGTGTTTATTATTTTTCTTTCTTCTTGGTAAATTTCATAAGTAATACGGTAGCATTAAATGTAATTGCGAATTGCAAAATAACCCGAAATGACTAATTTATATTAAAATAACTGAATTTTTATCTAAAATTTTTGACGAACTCTAGTACGTGTAACGTGAAAATCTGATCGTAAATGCAAATTTATGAAAAAATGCAAAAGTAATTTATCTTTTCGTCATAAAAAAATTTTTCATACATAAATCTGTGAAAATTTCATTAACAATAAAACAATAAATCATTAGATTATGATCCTTACATCATCTAAACTATTTTGGTCTCAAACTAAAATTTAATAACGTTCATTGTATACTAGATATATATACTGTATATCTGATATGTACTGCAAAAAGTAAAGTTACTATTTAAAAAAAAACGAAAACGAAAAATAAAATCCAACTTGAAATCAATATAAAAACAAAACAACCAACATAAAAATAATTCATTTTACTACGATTTTCACCTAACCTATCTTTTTCATTTTTTTCTTTGTAATAAACTTTTCTTTCACTTTCTTTCATCCAAGAAGAAAGAAAAATAAAATCCAACTTGAAATCAATATAAAAACAAAACAACCAACATAAAAATAATTCATTTTACTACGATTTTCACCTAACCTATCTTTTTCATTTTTTTCTTTGTAATAAACTTTTCTTTCACTTTCTTTCATATCCAATATATTATCATACCATTTTTTTGACACAAAATATAAGCATAATGATGCTATTATGGCCAATATACTACTGGTCAAATAAAATATCATTACTTTACCATACATTCCTTTATCCAAATCTTGTAATAATCCCACCAATATATTATAAATGGTTGATCCAACATTCGAAGTGGATTTAATGAAACCCAATCCAGTACCAACATAATCCATTGGTAATAATACAGGTATTGTTGATAATGT